CCTCCATTTTATTTTTCTTCAAGTTGTTCTGATGATTTCGCAGGGGAATGTTTCAGGCAAAGAGCTATGATTCTGAATTAGTTGGCTTATGTATCTTGCTTAACCTTAGAAAAACCTAAAATGACATAACACATTTTGAAAACGGACTCCTGAAATAATAATGACCTCATGTATTTAATTTTAGTTTTGCAGTTGGTTATGTGCATTGTCTCTTGCAAAAAAGCACTGCTCAAGTGAGAATTTACAATTGGGGTTTCTTACATACATTACTCACTCTATATCAGGAAAATAATTTATATTATGATATGTTACATTTTAGACTAACACATGTGAAGTGATAACTGAATTTGTCCAATGTTCCATACAGCATTCTAAGTTTTAAAAAAAATTATTCAAGGATACCATTTGCACAGGATTCCCTATCTTGGAACTTGTGCTTCCAGGAACTAGGAATTCATGTGCATTCTAGCTTAACAAGAATGTGGAGGGTGCTGCAAGTACATCTGACGTTCCTTGTGAAGGTGATGTAATTCATTTTACTGAGCCTATCATCTTGCCAACAATTTCCCCTTTGGTCGTTATAAGTAGATTAAACCTTGAGAAAGTCTATCCAGCTTCTTGTTTCACTTTCCACCAACTCAATAGGTGTTTCTGTAACTAAAATTAACATGTCTAATGTTATGTCTACACTTGTACACTTCCCTGGGTACTTGTCTGTGTACTGCTAGCTCATGTATCCCATACCTGTGACAAGTGTCCACATTGCTGAGCTGGGCATCAGTACAGGCTGTACACAGGCTCATATCCGTGTCCATACAGCCTTTTTTCAGTATGTGACATTTAGCACTACCATTTCAGAGTCCTGTGTGTCATAGGAGATGCTCTGGCAATCACCTCGCTGCGTGTTGCTGGTACTATACACCACATTCACGTATTTTGCAACTGCAGCTCCCACTCAACTCTCCATTCTGCCAAACAACACTGGAGACATGCAACAAGTATATGATGATGTGGGTCTGCTACCGCTCGCTGGACAAATGTTCATGCAGTACATTACTAGATACAGGATGGAATTGGTCCAGAAAACTTTGAGATGGTGAAGGTGGTTGATCCAGAGATGGAATGAAAATCCACTGTGGTCCCGAGGAACAGATGGGTCAAGTGCTGAGAGTGCATTGGTATGCCCATGAGTGGACCACCACTTCTGGTCCCAGAGAACCAGTATAATGGGACCACATGATCTTGGAAACCTGGGATTATGACTAATGGGTATAGAACTTCAGATTGAGGAAACAGACCTTCATCAAGATGTGTGAGGAGCTTGCATTAACCCTCCAGCAGCAGACCACTCCCATTTCAGAAATCCAGACCCGTGTTATGAATTTGTTTCTTTTTGTTTGTCTGAAGAGTACTCCTTGGGCCTACCCAGAAGCCCACCTTCTAAATATTAAAAAATAAAACCCAAATGAGAAATTAAAAAGCTCTCTGGAGTGGGACTGATTTGCTCCAGGCCCCCACCACCAGAGAGGAAAATGCTGAGCCCCCTGAGGCAAGGGAGATGCCTAGCCACAATATATACATTGAACATAAAGCTAAAATGGTTTGTAACAGGAAGAAATTGGGAGGGGAGAGGTCAAATTCCTTGGGAAGTGAGTAGACGAATGATTGTGGACACATGTTGTAGCCCTTCCTCTTCCTCTCTTATCTCTGAAGTGCTGCTTCTGCACTACCACCAGAATGGGTTCCCTGACGGCATCTTTGTCTGAAGAGTCATTTCTGACCTCTCAGAGAAGACTGATTGGAAATGTTATAGAGAGAGCTCAGTACTAGTGGTGATGGAATGTGAGTGGGGTATTGCACTCAACTGTCGGTACACCAGAAAGCCATAGTCTGAAAACTATAGTGTGTTTCCAGGTGCAATTCACTGCTCTGCAGAATGCCTGTATAAGGCTGCACTCTTTTTAAAATGCAGTTCAGCACTGTTTTGAGGACAACACTCTTTTGTTAGTCTCCTAACCTCAATAGAGATTAAAGCATGAGGTTTCACAGCCTTTTTAAAACTTAAAAAAAAATATTACTTTTATAATGACAGTGAGTTTCGCGGTCTAATTTTGTGTTATGAGAAAAAGTATGCCCTTTGATCAGTTTTCCATTTGCCACCTTTCAGTTTTATTTAATGGCACATTGTTCTTGTATTTTGAGATCCACTTGTTTAATGTTATTCAAAATTCAATATTTTGTATATTTTATAATAGTGAACTGTTATTGATCTTTTCTCTAAAGTAAACTTATCAGTCTTTTCAGTCTCTTCATATAAGAGCTCATTTCTGAATCCCATTTACTTCTGCGAAATCCTCTTAGAGATGGGGTGACCAGTACTGAATACAGTGTTCCAGATGAGGGTGAAACACTGATTTATAGTGGCATCGAATGGCATAAGGTACACGAGTATAAGCCCAGTTATAGTGTTATAACTGCATCTATACTAGGACAATTTTGCTAGTTTAGCTAAACCAGTATAACTGTACTGGCAGAACCGTCCTACTGTAGCAGGCTATAAGTGTGTTATCATTCTGTTTTCAATTATCAGTTCAATAACTTTATCAGATACAAGTTAAAACGTAGTTCTATACAGTATAAGACTCATATCCAAAGAAGATACAGGCTCATCTCTAAAAGTCATGAGTAATAATTATTTGCAGCTACATAATTTGTAGGCTTCTTTCCAGAAAACATTAATTGAAAGTAACCTCACCTTAACCAACCAGCTCCTGATTAAAGTTCTGCATCTCATAGAGGTTATTGCTGTTATTCCTGAACCTTGACTGCCAACTTCGATGTACTCTACAGTACCAGTGAAAAAAATCTTGCAGCTTGCCTTTTAATCATGCAGTAAATGTCATGTTCATGGGCTTTGTTTTACACGTGTACTGAAATGAATTTTACATACACGCAGAACAGTTGCAACCAAGGGAATTTTCTAATTGCCCCTTTTACTGAATAAGACACAGGTTCATTATTCTTACTTACAGCAAATAGATTTTGTCAGCCCATTAGCCGTCTTAATAGTTGACAACTATTCTCTGATCATTTTAACTTCCAAACCTTCATAGAATACTTTATTCTTAGTACTGAAAAAGTATTTTTACCATGTTTGTTTCTGATGGCTTAAGCTGAAAATATGCTTATCCTCTGAGCCACTCATAAAGCATTCTTTCTGTAGTGGTCCAGTGATCAGCTTTCACTGTGTTGCACTGGAATCCATTGCAGACAGTGACGTCTTTTGTGAGTTGATCAGCCCACTAGAAATGCATATCTAAATCTTTCAATGTTTAAAAATTAAAATGTATAGTACTGTATTCTGATGCTTCTAATTTTCTGATCATCGTTGCTTTTGTTCAGCTCTGGGAACATCAGAAAAGTGGACACTTTCATTCTTTTTTGAAAGTTTAGTCTAAGAGAATATTTAATAGAATTAGTTTTGTCCTAATAGTGGTGCCCCAGATCTAAAATAGCTCTGGATTTGCCCTGGCATTTAGCTGTCAGTGATGCAACCCAATGTGTGTACAAATCAATTCTGTTATAATTAATACTTAAAAGAAGGCAAATTCATGCATGTATATACAATGTGCATTTGATTGTCTCCCTCTCTCCTACCCCTTGGTATGCTACTCATCATAAATTGTAAGCTCTTCAGAGTAAGGGCTGTGTCTTCCTCTGTACAGCAACTAGCTCAACAGAGCTACAATCATGACTGGGGCTTCTAGGTTCGACTGTAATATAAACATTAAATAATAGTATATGGAAATTTTTGAAAAGTGACCTACATTGAGAACTGTCCCCATATTGAAACACTGCAGGAATTCGTGTTTGCATTTTTCTGTCATCCAGTTCTTGCTGTGTGAAATAATGTTTTTGATTTATTTTTAAACACTCAACTTCATTCTGATCATTCGGAATTGCAAGGAATGTCCAAGTAGACCGAGAAGCACAATAGTGATATTTTAAGAGGGTTTGTTGGTCTATTGCAGTGGTTCTCAAACTTTTTTTTTCCCACGGACCACTTGAAAATTGCTGAGGGTCTCAGCAGACCACTTAATGATCTTTCCAAATGTTGTTTGTATCGTTAGCTAACTATTGTAAAGTGATTTGGATAAAGCACTATATAAAAAAAAACCTTAATGATTAACATTTTTTGTTCTACAAATAAAAGCGCACAACTCATATTTTAATATCAGTAGTCTTACCTTTCCAATGCGATGGATGTGCCTCTCCCCCGCCGCTGCAGCCCCTGAGCTGGGGCTGGGAAAGAGGGGGGGTCTCTCCCTCTCTCTCCCACCGCAGCAGCCCCTGAGCTGAGGCTGGGAAGGAGGGCCATCTCTCCCCGGCAGCCACAGTCCTGGAGCTGGGGAAAGTCACCTCTTTCTCTGGCCACCACGGCCCTGCACATCCCAAATTCCCCCCACCCCCTCTTCTCACCCCACTTCCCCCTCCCACCTACACCCTACTCCCCCAAGGCCACCACCTCACCTTACAAGTGTGTCTTCTCCAGGGTCCAGGCACCTAATTAGTGGAGCCACACCTGCACGGCTCCACTAATTAGGGTGGCCCTTTATTCTCTTGTGTGTGGCTGCCCAGTCATGCACCTCAGAGGGAACTATCCGCAGACCACCTGAATGGAGCTCGCTGACCACTGGTGGTCCACGGACCACAGTTTGAGAACCTCTGGTCTATTGTGTATATATAATCAGCCTAATAACAATGAAAAGACATTCTGGTGGCATAGGTTGTTAGAAGCATAAAAAATGGCATAGTATTAATCCATTATTATAAATAAAATTTCAACAAAAATAGAAAGGGGGTTCATTAGCCTCATTGTTAACAAGTTGAAAATGCTGTTCTGGTAATCCATCTGGAATGTTACATATTCTCGTATATCTCATATATAGATTGTTATTGAACTGAAACTCTTGGTTCATCCTATTTGTATTCTGGTACAGGTGAGGCAAATGATAAGAATGTTCAGGTGGTGGAACTTCCCATCGTTGACAGCCTACACCCACGACCACCTTATTTGCCATTGGCTGTCCCAGAAGACCTGGCTGATAGACTAATTCGTGTCCATGGGGATCCTGCGGTGTGGTGGGTCTCGCAGTTTGTCAAATATTTGATTCGCCCACAACCATGGCTAGAAAAGGAAATCGAAGAAGCAACAAGGAAACTTGGTTTCAAACATCCAGTTATTGGGTAGGAATTTTATTTTGGTGTTTGCCAAGAAATTGTACATCATAAATGTTTATTGCACATCATAAATGTTAGCTATAAATAAATTTCCAAAATATGATAGATACAAAACCAGACTCCACATATTTAGAAATCTTATATCAATCATTTTACACTGTATTACAGTTGCTTACTTCTATGTTGTTAGGTGCACAGCTGAGCATCAGTTCTCTCCTAACTGTTTCAATGCCTCTGGTGATCACATCTCATACAAATAGAATTTAAAGATAATATCTCCAATTCTCTGGTCTGGTTTATTAATATACAAATTATATGCCAATAATTTACAATAAATCTATATTCCTATAATCTTCCCATCTATGTCTCTACTTAGGTGTCCAAAGCCCTTCTGCTAGGGCCTGCAAATACTTTTTTCCTCTCTTTTATCAGGGTTCACAACATTGCTTCTACCCCTTGACTACAGATGTCCTTTACAACCTTCTCAATAGGTTCTGAGTAGTCTTCTTTGCTCCTCTTGGCTCTAGGGGTCCTCACCAGTTGAAGGCAAACCCTGGCCTGCTCAGTGGCTTCTGGCCCAACGTCCACGCAAGCTCCTTCCCTGGGCCCTTGCCAAGAGTGACCTAAAAACCACACCTGTTTTCCTTCAGGTCTTCCAGTAGAGGGGCTCCATGTCTTTCTCCCATTGATACTATAGCTTGACTTTTATAACCTGCATCATCTCCAAGGAGCCTTTGGTTTCAGCAGACTTCCTGGAGACTAGAAGTATCAGAATGTTTGCTCTCAAAGGGTTATGGCCCTGTAACAGGTGTGATAGGCTGCACCCTACCTTAAAGGACAAGCATGCTCTGTTACACCTATGCTAATAGCTGAAATTTCTCCTTGCCCCTGCATTGCTCCCTCTAGATTTTCCCATCAGACTGGACATGCAGACTGCATAGCCAGCTGCCAGGAAACCTGTAAAAACATGATATTTTAAAATATTGAGCAAGGAAAGAAAATATTGTCTGTTGTGGAGTAAACTAACTAGTCCATATGAGGGCAATGAATGTACCTTTTCACGCCACGCCTGTTGGTTTTAATCTCCTTGAATTCCTGAATAGTATCTGAAGCCATTTATTTGTCATGGGATAGATCACTTGTTTGGAATATAATGTCCATAGATTTTTAATGGAAGTATCTGACAAATCCTAAAAGGTGTTACAATTGATGCAGTTCTGATGAGGACAAATAAGGTTCCATTTAAAACCCAAAAGAGAAATGCTATACAGAAGCACTATACAGAAAATTGGAATTACTTGGCAGTGTTTTGACTTAGTAAAAGGTAGGAGGGGACAAGCATATCTTAAAAATGCACTTCCTTTTGAGACCAGAGAAAATGTAATACTGTTAGTCCTGACAGCTCATATATAGTTTTCCTGAAGAAATTTAAATTGTACACTGTGGCAACTAAATAAAACCTGGGAGGTGTATATATGCAGAAAAGATCAAAGGAAGGTCAGCCTCAGCCTACTCAGTAGCAGAGACTTGGAGAGGTTTGCAGAACTGTAGCTCTAAGATTCCACAGTGACAGATATGGAGCATATTAGCATTTCGCCTCCAAAAATAATAATTATATTCTGTTTTCAAGGGCAGGATGGTAGTTACTTCCCATGGTGTTACATAACAAATCTAGTATGTCCTGTGGTTCCTGGCATATTTCAGACTTTGCAATTAGTATTTCACATTTGGTGAATATTTGTCTGTAGACGCTATTGATTTTTAATCCTTTTTCATTTTATTTAGTGGTTCATTTTAAGGCTCATCTGAGTACCATAATGGGGCAAAAATGTTTATTCTAAGATAAAATCTAAATTTCAATTGCCAAACTGTCTATTATAAAAAATATAAAAGATTTACATGTTGAATCCCAAGCGTCTGCCTTTCTTTTCAGTGTTCACGTCCGAAGGACAGACAAAGTGGGAACAGAGGCAGCATTTCATCCCATTGAAGAGTACATGGTACATGTTGAAGAACGGTTCCAGCTTCTTGCCCGCAGAATGCATATAGACAAAAAACGGGTTTATTTGGCTACCGATGACCCTTCGCTACTACAAGAGGCAAAATCTAAGTAAGATTAATTATATTTGCATTATATAGATGTGCAATGGAAGTGTTCGTGTCAGTTAGGAAGAGTTCTACAATTCCTGACCTTTGTGGGTACAATTCTTAATGTAGGTATTTCAACATAGTATCTGTGGTTTAATTTATACAGTTGAGATTACAATTCAACTTTCACTATAGCCTTTCTTGTAATTTGTTGGTCATTTTCTCAGAAATTTTTTGGTTGTGGCTGAATCTTTCCATGTTTGGCCTCAGCTCATCGGTAAGACTTTGTAAATTGAGCATAATCTCTTCGGCCATTTAAAAATAATTTATATTTTTAGTATTGTAAAGCAGAAAAAGAGGAAAATATTTAAAAATAAATACAATCTTGAGCACATTATGCTTTTTTTAAACTTTCAACTTCCGTTGCATTGCACAAACTGTCTCTTTCCTTTTCAATTTTAATTTCCCTAACACATCTGGAGATTTTCCAGAGCACTTCACTGTTGTTTCCTTACTCCCACTACATTAAATTAAAACATTTTTTTTGACATGTAATGGCTGTAGTTTGTCTTGCAAAAACATCAGCATTAGTAACTTCTAAATCCATTAAACCACTGTGTTCCAACACACTGAAGCTTGAATTAGTCCCTCAATTGTGCTGTAGTTTCAGTCTCATCCAAGGTCAATGGTCTCTGAAGGAAGATAACATTTTAAAAAGTATCTCCTCCCCAAAAAGCAAATAAAACCCTCTGTTTCTGAATGCAGTGTGAGGATATTTATAATGAAGCTTAAATGAACTACCAGAAACTGATAACTATGAGTGGTGAAGAAATAATGCATACAGATAATCCAATATGAAGAAAGCTTTGAGATGCCAGTTTTAATTATTTTGCTTGATTATCATAATCTGGTCCTTTGGCTTTACAGTGAAGAGGAGTGGTTGATAATTTCTTCAGAAAGACAGAGACCCTAAGGAATCCTGTATTATATTCTGATGCTTTTAACTAGCCAGGTTGAATTGAAGAGCTGACAGAATACTATAAGGTGATTCGAAATCAAATTCATGAAATGGAGGTTGCCCAGATTCGGAAACATCTAGAAACCTGGGATTCCTGAACAAATGGAGACAGGAAAAAATGAGAGGTTCTCTTCTGAATAGACTTATGTAATTACAAGGGGCTAGAAGATTCCACTGTGTGCAGTGAAGCTCAAGTTAACAAGAAATTGAAATAGATTTAAAGTATGAAATGCGATCTTTTTGTTTTAAGTCATAATTCTCTGTGGTACACAGAGTTTACTGTGGTGGGGTTGAACACTGTAGGATTTCTGGGAACATTTACAGAAATTCACAAGTGTTCCTTTGAAAATCAACAAGTTATTTGGAATCTCTTCCACTTGAACCCACCTTCTTAAAAAGTGTCGATCCTGCTGTGAAAGAGTAAATGGCTTCTGAATCTCTGAAGTAGGTGGCAGGTTACCTTATGCTGACAAAAGTGAGCTGGCTCTGTAGAGAGAGAGAGAATCTAGAATATGGCCTAAGCAGTACTAAAGTAAGAACCCTGGGGAGAAGACTTGAGCTGAACTTTTAAGTTATTGTTAGTTTTGTTTGTAACTAAAGCAAAATCCCAGGAAACGAGGTGAGGTTTTGACTCTATATGGTATGTAGACTTTGTTCTAGAATAGGTTGAGGAAAGTCACCTGCTCTTAGTGCTCCTGGTGACAAGAACTTGTAATGGGGTGTGTCAGTATCATCATGTTATCCCCATAATATCATAGTAACAGATCACACAGAATGTATGTTCAACTGCAGGATATTCAACTTTACACATTCCTTTTGCAAGATGCCCTTGTTATGCTGTATAAGAAGGGATTGATAATGACAGTTATCTGGATTCTGAAAGTGATTTTGTGAGATTTGGCTTTTTATAAGTTCCACAAAAGTCTGGTGATGTACTATAAGATCAAAAAAGTTCCGATTACAGAGAAATTGTATTCTTTTTTTTTCTGACAAAATTCAAAAGTGTTGCTCTTGCTGTTTTTACACTTTTTCTGTATAAAAGCATGCTGACAAGCTAAACTCGCATTAGCAAAACAAATAAAATATATTTTAAACAATAATAGTATTATCTAGGGCTGTCAAGCAATTAAAAAATTTAATCGCGATTAATTGCGGGATTAATCGCACTGTTAAACAATAATAGAATGCCATTTATTTAAATATTTTTGATGTTTTCTACATTTTCAAATATATTGATTTCAATTACAACACAAACTACAAAGTGTACAGTGCTCACTTTATATTTATTTTTGATTACAAGTATTTGCACTGTAAAAAACAAAAGAAATAGTATTTTTCAATTCACCCGATACAAGTACTGTTGTGCAATCTCTTTATCATGAAAGTTGAACTTACAAATATAGAATTATGCACAAACAACCCTGCATTCAAAAATAAAACAATGTACAATTTTAGAGCCTGCAAGTCCACTCAGTCCTCCTCCTTGTTCAGCCTATCCCTCAGACAAACAAGTTTGTTTACATTTGCAGGAGATAATGCTGTCCACTTCTTGTTTACAGTGTCACCTGAAAGTGAAAACAGGCGTTTGCATGGCACTGTTGTAGCCGGCGTTGCAAGATATTTACATGCCAGATGCACTGAGGATTTATATGTCCCTTCATGCTTCAACCACCATTCCAGGGGACATGCGTCCATACTGACGACAGGTTCTGCTCAATAACAATCCAAAGCAGTGCGTACCGACGCATGTTCATTTTCATTATCTGAGTCAGATGCCACCAGCAGAAAGTTGATTTCTTTTTCGGTGGTTCGGGTTCTGTAGTTTCCGCATCAGAGTGTTGCTTTTTTAAAGACTTCTGAAAGCATGCTCCACACCTCGTCCCTCTGAGATTTTGGAAGGCACTTCAGATTCTTAAGCCTTGGGTCGAGAGCTGTAGCTATCTTTAGAAATCTCACATTGGTACCTTCTTTGCGTTTTGTCAGATCTGCAGTGAAAGTGTTCTTAAAACGAACATGTGCTGGGTCATCATCTGAGACTGCTATAACATGAAATATATGGCAGAATGCGAGTAAAACAACAGGGGACATACAATTCTCCTCCAAGGAGTTCAGTCACAGTTTTAATCAACACATTTTTTTTAATGAGCATCATCAGCAGGGAAGCATGTCCTCTGGAATAGTGGCTGAAGCATGAAGAGGCATACAAATGTTTAGCATATCTGGCAAGTAAATACCTTACAATGCCGGCTACAAAAGTGCCATGCAAATGCCTGTTCTCACTTTCTGGTGGCATTGTAAATAAGAAGAAGGAAGCATTACTTCCTGTAAATATAAACAAACTTGTTTGTCTTAGCGATTGGCTGAACAAGAAGTAGGAACGAGTAGGTTCTGAAGTTTTACATTGGTTCTTTTTTTTTTTTTTTTGCTACATAACTGCACTCAAAACCAAATCTCTATTTGTAAGTTGCAGTTTCACAGTAAAGCGATTGTACTACAGTACTAGTATGAGGTGAATTGAAAAATACTATTTCTTTTGTTTATCATTTTTACTCTGCAAATATTTATAATAAACAATATACACTTTGATTTCAATTACAATAAACAATACAATATATATGAAAAGTAGAAAAACATCCAAAATATTTAATAAATTTCAATTGGTATTCTATTAACAGTATGATTAATCATGATTAATTTTTTAAATCACGATTAATTTTTTTAGTTAATCGTGTGAGTTAACTGCAATTAATCGACACCCTAGTATTATCATCTACTGTATTTAGTGCAACATTAGCAGAAGCTGTTGGACACAATGGGGAAGACAAGAAGAAAAATATTGCTAGTTACAGCCCCTCTCTCTCTCTCTCTCTCTCTGACAGAGATATGACCCCTATTTCCTGTCATACGTGGCCTTGTCTATTTCTCTTCAGGAGCAGCAGCAACATCTTCTCAAAATTGAGAGTTTCTTCCTTTTCTCATCTAACCTCTGTTTCCACATTCTATGTATAACCAAGTCTATCTTTAAAACTGAGTCATTAACTCTGGAGTGTTTTCCATGAATATATTCATTTTTATGTTGAAACAAATGTTTCCTTCAAGACACAAAATTCTAATTAAATCTCCCCCAAAGCCAGATGCTTCAAACAACGTATTTAAGAGCAAATAAAACTCTTGTTTTTGTGCAATATCAGCTGTTGACGTTAGACAAAGGATTTTCCCTGTCTCAGTGGCCACAGCTAGTTAATTTTGAAGAGAAAAGCCTCCTTGTGTATGACCCGTTTCACCTTTGAAGAAAATTGCTCTAGTAGTTCTTACGTTGTGAGGGTTTAAATTCGGCATATTCCCACCAAATAGGGCTTAATATTTAAGTGTCCTCTGATATATAAAACAAAGTGTGTTTGAAGATTCTAACTTCAGTCATTGTCCAAGCACTTGGAGCTAATCTCTCTTACTCTGAGCTATGCTTAGCACAGGAGAAGGGAAGGTACTAAGAAAGCCAGTTATAGCACCTTGATTCTGGACCAGCAGCTGCTCTGGCCCCAGTGTTAGGGGCTGCTCTAAATTATGAACTCTTGATACTGTAGGTACCATTAATTCATATAACTAGACTGTTAACTATATGATTGAATGACTCACTATTTACTCCATTAGTATCATACTTAACACATTGCCCTGTAATTACTATAAAGTTATACATTTTGATAAATGCACCTAGTTAAAAAAATCCAATAATTGGCAAGTTAAATCCAATAATTGGCAGGGGTATGCTTCATAATTACACTGTAACTATAGTTGAACAGTGCTGTAATTTAAATCACTTTGTTATAAAGTGAAATTGATTTTTTTCGGTTTCTGCTCATTTGTCAGACCCTATCACCAGTAATTGATTTCCATATGGAATGCTCAGATTAAAAGCCTCCAAGAAAGAATGGTAGTAAATATGGCTAAAAGTATACTAAAATCAAAACACAGTGCCATACTATCTATCTTAGGGTTTCATCCTGGTGCCCATTCGTATAGTATCTGAGTGCATTCCACATAAAATCAGTAGACATGACAAAGTCCCTAGTCGACCACATGGAGTCTCTGGCCCTTCTCCCTTTACAGGGTCAAAACTCTGCTTGGTGAAGGGTCTTTTGGTGGTGGTGGGAAGCAGGGGGGAAGGAGGCCTTGCGAGGTGGTAAAGGGGAGGACAGAGGGCTAAAATCCTAGAGTGGTCAAAAAGGCAATGGTAAATTCTCTGTAAAAGAGAATTGTGACTTAAAACTGCTTGCTCTTACAATTAGGTTGGTGCTTCCGGTTTGTAAAATTTTAATTTTAAGGCTTTAATATTAATTGTAGATTATATTTTTTCCAGATATCCAAATTATGAATTTATCAGTGATAACTCCATATCTTGGTCAGCTGGACTTCATAATCGATACACTGAAAACTCACTGCGGGGTGTTATTCTGGATATCCACTTTCTGTCTCAGGCAGACTTTCTGGTCTGTACGTTTTCGTCACAGGTAAACTGCAATGTAACAGCTAAATATACATTACATCAGTCAATTCTTTTAAAAGTCTGAGTTTTTTTTACTTAATGTTAGCTAGTGCATCTATAGTACCATGTTCTCAGTGTTTTGTAGTGAAAATTTCATGAAAGAATTAAAAGATTCCATATAATATTATCTGTATATTGAACTATTTGCTAGCACTGGTTGATTACACCTCCTCCACTGAAGTCAGCCATTGTAGTTGTTTAATGCACTTGGCTTAGGGTATTTAAAAGAAGCAGAAGGTAATTAGGCTTGTATAATACTCTATGATTTTGCATAATCAGTAGATAACCCAAATTTATCCTTTTCTGCACTTCAGTGCGCTGATATTGAGAGGTTTAAACACCTCAGCCTTTGGCCTCAGTTGATTACTTCAGAGGATTCAGAGGAGGGGAAAGGAAGAAATGAAATTCCTCTTCAGGGTCAATTACATTTCCACGAGGCCAGAAGCAGTACAGTAAATTTACATTGTATCCATTGTAATCCACTCAGATTTGTTGTGCAAATAATTACATGCTATAGGCTTGTTTTCTTGAGTAGCTTTACGAAGCACTTCAGTCCAGTGGGAATATGAATGATACAATAGTTGTGTTTTTTCTGTTCTATTACATGTAAATATAATTTCATGGATCATGATAAATTCTTAAGGATTTTAAAACACAAATAGTATAGTAAAAGCAGTGTTTTCTCACTGGCATGATGCTCCATCTGATCCAAAAGACATCAGTTCAGGCAGATGGATATCTGTGAAAAAGCTAAAAGGTGTAATTAAAATCAGACAAAGGTCCTACTGCTGTCACTTATGCTCTTAAATGGCAGTACTGATCAGAGAGAATTTGGTTGTGGATATTGGCAGCATAGGCCAACATGATTTTGTTGTTACATTGATACACAGGCATAATACTAATGAGTGCTGAAATCACTTTAGGAGGCGAATATCCTGCACAACTTCAAAATACAGATTACCTTCTGCACCCTAACAATAATTAAACATACAATAACCACATATTAGTATAAATACTAATATAAAAATAAATTAACTCTGACAGAAATAATGAAATGGAGGTAACAATTTATCAGAGCCAGCAGTCAATAACTAAATACAGAAAAGCCTCTCATCCGCAAATTATACCCCATACCTCCCCCAAATTATCAGACAATTTATCAATTTATCAGAGCCAGCAGACAATAACTAAATACCGAAAACAATTTATCAGAGCCAGCAGACAATAACTAAATACAGAAAAGCCTCTCATCCCCAAATTATACCTCATTCCTTCCCCCCAAATTATGCCCTCATACCTCCCCCAAAATCCAGTCAAACAAATGTTTTTTTTCAGCCTATTCTGAAAGTCATCAAATTCAGGCTATTTCAGACCAAGGCAGGAGGAACTGACTACAGCTGTGGCAGTATGTCTTGGAGGGAGAGGCAATCCTCAGTTAGACGGGTCCTAGGTCCTTCTGAGCATTATAGGTCATGACAAACATCTTAAATGCTACGCAGAGGTCCACAGGTAAACAGTGAAAATCTCAGTGCCATGTGCTCCCTGCTAAATGCTCCACTCAGTAAGCATTCTGTAATATGTAAATATTATGCTGGTACAGAATATTTCTATGAAACAATAGCCATAAAATGGGTTGTTTTCCAAAATGAATGAACAGATATAATTTAACAGATAGAGATGGATAGATGAGTTGCACATAATATAAAAAGCTATGGGGTGGAATTCAAAGCTTCCCATTACATATATTCACTTCAGCTGTTGTGTATTTAACATTTCCTTAGGGGTGGAAAGGTTTGCTTCTGCTACTAAGGTGGCATAACTGACAAAATGGTATGGCCATTTATTTCAATATTTGTTTAAATGGCAGTTTCATACTGCAGCAAATGTGTCAACTTTCACTGTCAAGCATGAGGTTTTGCAAGAAGACATTATCAGTCTTTTTCAGTAAATTGATTCTTCCAGTCTACACTGTAGGGCCACTGATTTTACAATTGCTAGCATGCTGGAAATATCAAAAACATTTAATTCATTTATAAAGGGAGCAGACTTTCATATAAAATGGTTGAGCATCTGCTCTAGATGCTGATGCTTGAGAGTAATGGTTGGTAAATGTGTGAACTGAGGACCACATTGCTGTTCTACAAATTTAAATGACTGCAACTCTGCTGCAGGAGGCTGCTAAAATAGCTTGGGCTCTGGTAGAATGAGCAATCACCCTACTTGGTAGCTGTAATTTTATCGATGATGTAAGAAATCTTGATACATGATCCATTTGGATAATATCTTAGAGGAGATTGGTCTACATTTTGATGCATTCCCATATGCTATGAACAGTCTAGGAGATTTTCTGAATGATCTTTTTCTGCTAAGATAGTACAACAGGGCTCTTCTGACATCTAGGGTATGTAACTTTGCCTCATCTGGGGATGAGCAAGGCCTGGAAATAAATATAGGTATGTGTGTATTTGATTAATATGAAAGAGCAAGACAATTTTAGGGATAAATCTAGGGTGAGGTTGTATAGTTATACCTATTGTATATGATGGGTTAGACATGAGCACCTAGATCTCACTCACTTTATGGGCAGAAATGATTGCCACCAGAAATGCCACTTTGCTTGATAAATGATGGAGGGAGCAAGATGTCAGAGGCTCAAATGAGAGCTCAATAAATGAAGGAGAGACTAAGTTTAAGACCCAAGAAAATTGTATTTGTATTACTGGTGGATACATGTGCAATAAGCCCATAAGGCTGGAATCTGTTTCCAGAATCTGGAGTCATTAAGTCCAGCAGAAATGGGAGAGCTATGAACTGATGATCGGAGAGATACCAAAACTGACAAGGCCATGCTGGGGCCACAAGGATCATTTGAGTCCTGTCCTGCTTCATGTTACTTAGAACCCTGAGAATTAAAGGAAAAACAGAAAATGCATAGCCTGGGTGATGTGACTAGGAGATTAGAAATTCATCTGCGAGAGCACCCTTACTCTGACCCCCTCAAGAGCAAAACAGAGGGTGTTTTTTGAGATCTGTTTTTGGAAAACCCCATGTTTGGAAGACGTTTCACCACTGACTCCTTTAGAGACCATTTGTGAGTGGATCAGCTTTTCCTGCTTCGTTAATCTGCCAGAGCATTTTATTCCCCTGGGAGATGTATCACTATGAGATCTATGCAATGATTGATGCATCATTCCCAGAGGAGAACGGCTTCTTGACAAAGGAGTCTGATTTTGCTCCTCCCCAGCTGTGGAGTTGTCAAAATCTGCATAGCTTAGTTTCTCAACCATGATAGGAATGATTTTCAAGTGAAGCAAATCACTCTGAGCTTCAACACATTTATATGAGCTGATCGATCTGCAAAGTTCGATAGGTCATGCATCTGGAATTGACCCAGATGTACACTGCAGCAGCTTGTGGATCCATCTGGTGACTAATGTCTGGGTGGGAGATATATCTACAAACGATGTCTGTCTCTAACCACCAACAGAGGGACAAGAGATTCTACTGAGGGATCGTGACTTGCCAGTTCATTCTGTAAGTGACTGGATGATAAACTGGTCTGATCCAAGAATTAAGAGATCTCAGCCTCAATCTGGCAAAAGGCATCACTTGGAGTCTAGGAGAGTTGAAGTTGGCATCTCCTGGAGTCTAGGGTTGGTACGGCAATAGATGAGATTTCTTTAGGTTAATTTTCAGTCCTAAGTCTGAGAACTGGCACAGAATCAATCTCACTGAGTTTGGAGACCTGCTGGACTGATTACCCTTGGATTAACTAATCATCAAGGTATGGATACACATAAATACCTTGCTGATGTAAATGAGCAATTACCTCTGATAGGCATTTCATAAAATCCCAAAGTGCAGCTGAGAAATCTGCAAGATCCAGTGGTCTGATGTTATTTTGGTCAAGGCATTCCTGAAAAAAGAGAGGCAGAAAGTGGAGTGGGGGGAAAGGAAGGTATACAGATCCACATAGATTGGTTCAGTATCCCTGACCAAAGCATCAAATTTGTTGTTTCTGTGAGGGGGATAGTTGAGAAGCCAATGAAGAAATCGCTTTCCACTTTAGGAACCTTTGTCCTTTCCTACACGGATTTGGTTGTACAAGGGCATAGATGATTGAGAGCTCTGTTGAGAGCTATACTGAGGTTCATGCTTTTTTATTTTAAAATTGGAAGTATGAATTCCCAAAGATCTAAGCATGGTCTGAGACTCTCTTAAAAAGTGCAGTGTGTAATCCATTTTTGGATTAAATAGCTCTTGTCTATCAAACAGTAAATCCTGTACCACATTCTGTACTTCTGTAGGGAATCCTGAGGCAGATAACCTGGGGTCTTTCCTCCTGGCAATAGCAGTAGCCATTGATCTAGCCCCTGGGTCTGCAGAGTGTAAAGTAGCTTGAAGACAGGTTCTGATGGTGAGATGATCCTCTGACCAAATTGATTTAAACTCCTCTTAAGTCAGGGGGTACCTTGTTAGAAAATAACTCTTCTTTGTCCCACTGAATATAATTATATTTGGTCACCATGGCTAAGTAGTTTGTGATTCTAACTTTAAGCCAAGCCATAGCATGTACTTTCCACCCAAAGAGATCTACTTTTTTTTATCTTTATGTCAAGGGACAGATGTGTACACTTGTTTGGATTGTTCATTTACTGCAGTGACAACAAGATGAAGGGGGGTGATGGATGTGAATAGAAATATTCAAATCCCTAAGGGGAGGACCTGATACTTTCACTCAACTCTTTCTGAAGTTGCTGAAATAAATGCTGGAGTATCCCACAACAACTTAGTGGGGTTCAAGAATTCCTCTGAGTTAGATTTCAAGTCAGGTCCTCGAATAGGGTCAGCATTGGTGGTGCTGATGGATGACACCTGTCCTGTCCACAGAGAATGTCCATGTCTACGCTCCTGGGACTGTCTGCGGCTTTTGATATCACTGAATACCACTGTTTCATCTCAGTGACATAGTAAGGAATAATGGAAAAGTACTCAAATGCTTCTAATCCTCTCTTGCGATCACTAATGCCTTCACCACATTCCTTCACCTCCAGAGCATTCATCTCTGGCACCCCACAAAGCTTGATTTTCTTTCCAACCTTTTTTAACTTCTGCATTGGGGAGGTTTGTGAGATACGATGTTCTACAAGCTAGTAGCATGCAAATGACACCTAGTTCTGTCTCCTTTACCTCATATAAAAATATGTTGCTGAGATGAAACAGTGATATGCTGACTCTATTCCAGGACCTGACTTGAAACCTAACTGAGAGTGGTCCATGATATTGACAGTGGATAAGTAAAGCCTTTGATTAATGTTTTGTTTGAGTAAAAGCTCTAAATCCTGTGGGGGAGGGTAAAACTGATTTCCAAGATTTTCTATGTAGAGAGATGACACATTTTACTTGTTGCTTTATTTCAAAGTATTGTTACAAGAAAAAAAAGACAAACCTAAACTGTGATTTTTTTATAAATCCTTGATTTTTTTCAGCTTTCACCTCTTTTTTGAAAAGTGCAAAGTTTTCATTTTCTTTTTTTCCCAAATGTGATGTTAAGAATTCTGACAGCAGAGTTACGTGATATTTGTTAGCAAGCGTACAGTATTTTTCAAATATGCCATTTAAAGAACTTGAGAGTTTAAGCTGGAAATTCCAGTGCTTGAACTTCTTTTGTGTGTAATGTAGCTGTGGGGTGTATGTTGTTGACTGTTGTGTTGAGTTAGGGACATACTGCACTCATGGCTTCTTTTCTGTTTTTTTTCCCAAGGTTTGTCGAGTTGCCTATGAAATCATGCAGACTTTGCATCCAGATGCTTCAGCATATTTCCACTCTTTGGATGATATCTACTATTTTGGAGGACAGAATGCGCACAACCAGATTGCCATTTATGCCCATCATCCACGAACTGCTGATGAAATCCCCATGGAACCTGAAGATATAATTGGTGTGGCTGGAAACCACTGGGATGGTTACTCTAAAGGCATCAATAGGAAATTAGGGAGAACAGGCCTATACCCATCTTACAAAGTAAAGGAGAAAATCGAGACAGTCAAGTACCCTACATACCCAGAGGCTGACAAATAGAACAAAAGGAGGGTTGTCACTCACTCTCAATTCTAATCCGTTCAAACCAACCAACATACAGAAGGCTTATATGGGATTTGAATTCGCATTTTAACATGTAGTTAAAATGAAAGCCTTCAGCGTTCAGACTAAATAAGAAGCTTGGAGCAAATGGACAGGTCATTATTTGAACTTTGTGTTGAACTTTTTTTTTTTGTTATATGCACTCTCACACATGTGCGTGCACACATCCTCCCAGGAAAACTGTTATTTTATACTATTTGTCTCTTTCAAGATTTGTCCCTGTCATTAGTCATGTGTGAGCTTTGTGCTCTCCTCTTTGTCATTAATTGACTATAATACTCAGACTTAGAACACTGCCATATTGTGTAATTTGAGTGACATGAACATATTTTGTATGTGCGGAATTTACAACATGGTGCCTATATTTGAAAGATCTGTGACCTTTTCAGAAGAGCCATGCCCAGTTCCACTGATAGGCAAGAGCTGATCTTTAACTGGTCTTGTCACGAGTGGCGAACTTGCTCCAATCAACCGATTCAAAAATCAAACTAGATCTTTTTTCTTTACAAGATTCTTTTAAAAGAAACAATTCCATTGATTAGTTCACCTCATCAATAATAAAGGATACATCCAAACAATAAAATATTCACTGTCTGTTAGGAACTTTTGTAAACAATGCCATGAACAGATTCTTTAGTACTGTATGTTTCTGGACATTGTCTTTGATAACAAAAAATAAATTTAAAAAACGAGTAGCTGGAGTTTTATATATTTTTAAATATTCATTGCTCAGTTGAATAACTGCCAGTGGGTCACTGTTTCTCAGGGACTTCTACAGAGAATGGATTTCAGTGCTTCAGAATTTTTTGTCCATATCTTTTTCTCTAAGTCTCCAACTTTCCATCTTCTTTATTTCTCTTCTGAAATATAAAGTTCTGTTAGGGAATTATAAACATTAATTTATTATTTTGGCATTGAATGCTATCACTTTGGAATGTAAGTAAAATATAACACATTGTTTATAGTATTTGTCAGCAAATCTATCATTTCAAAAGGTTAGGCTCCTCTGTATCTACTCATAGCCAGACTTTCCTTTTGCTGTAGTGTGTTTGAGAGAAATCCTAAAGCTAATGGGCTTGTGACTAAGCTGGCCTGTTCCCATTCAACAGTTCTTTATTTTGGAGCCACAGAATTAACTCTGTTAGGCAGTTTCCTAGCTGATTTTGAGAGTCTCCCCACTAATTTAGCAAAATTTCTGGCCTGGTTTTTCACATGCATAGTCTGAGGCTAGAGGAGAAGTGTTTTTTTTTTAAGTTTGAGGGAGATGAACAAAGCTATTTGGAATTACAAGACTTGGGGGAAAAAAATTGGTTTTTTAAATTTTTCAGAAATAACTCACTTGTCTTTTGATCTCAAAGTGAAAATTAGTGAAAGCTATAGTTTTAACTTTTTTGGAATCCCTATGTTTTCAGTTATTTCTCAATAAATATTGTAATTTCTATACAATATTTTTAGATTTTGTAAAATAAGTATATACTGCAATAGATTTTCTAAGCTCTTTGCTTACAAATGCAGACTTTATAAGCTTCCTACTCATCACTTGGAGATTAGTGCAGAAATAATGTTCACAAATGAACTAAAGTATGAAGATTCCTGAGGAGTGAGGTAAGTCAAATAAAAATATCAGCCAAGGGACAAGGCAGCTGAGACTGGCCCACAGGCAACAGCAAAGCTCCTGATGTAGCAACCAAAGAACCAGAACCAGTGCTGTTGTGGGAGAAATAATAACCAATTTGGCAATTGTATAGCAAACTGTAAGACTGAAAGAAAAAAGTGTGGCAAGATGCATGTGTTTCCCCACTTCTTTTAAAAGCCTGAGGAATAATGAGTGAAATGATTTTGATAAAGATATGTTTAAAATATTATAAAATATAAACTATTATCAATAAAATATTTATTTGTAGATATTAACTAAATATTAACTAAATGGCCTCCTGTTCCCATTGGTCATTTGATCTTCTGGTGCTTACAGTGCAGTCCTTCTGTAGCATTGTCCTGGAGAAAAGACCCCAGCTTTTCCACTCCAATATGCTGCCTGTCGTACGTTTTCCAGAGATCTATTTCCTTCAGGAGAACCAATTAATAAGTTCCCCAGATAAAACAGCTGAAACTCAATTGATTTTAGATTAAACAAAATAAATACTACAGACTTGAGTCACAGTTGCCATAAAGCCCTTTTACACTACCACAGGGGTAAATGAGAATCAGGCCCTGTAGTAGATATTGTAGCTTATGGAATAGAGAGAAAACAGAAAATAAAAAGACGGTATCTATTAAACTCCTGAAAGGAACTTGAATGGAGCATCGCATGAAGGTACTAGTGATTAGTTAAGTTACATAATAATTATAAATTTTACTTGGTCCGATCAAGTCTTAGTTTTGCAGAAGTCCATTTTGTTTCTCTGTATCAGAGCTTCAAGTCTGACATATCCCTATAAAGACAGAATCATTGGCATAAGTCCCCAGTCTAGTTATAGTTCATGTACTCTTTGATATAAACTAGTGTTTTAATTCCTCTCCTTTTAATTTATTTTAATATATAACCATATAATTTCCGCCTTTCCTATTATATATGTAATATGCCTATTATTAGAACTGGGCAAAGTTTTTTGGCCAAAACTTTTTTCACCCAAAAAATGCAGATTCAGATCAACCAAAACATTTTGTGAAATTGTTTCATTAAGGGAAAAAACAATTTTGAAAAAATCAAAACGTTTTGTTGCAATATTTTCAAAATGAAATGTTTCGGTTTTTTTATTTGAAACAACTTGTTGCTTCAAAATTTATTTCAATTTTATTGAAAATTTTCAAAAAAATTTAAAGCTCAATTGAAACAAAATGTTTTGTTCAACATAAAATGAATTTTTTTTATTTTTTTCAGAATGGTCAGCAAAACAAAAAATAGTTATTCACACAGTTCTACTTATTACATCTTCTGTAATAATTTATTTTCCATTGTACTAGTTTTAGTTATTTCTTTCTAAAGGAACTCTTCCCTTGGTTTCTCTCCAGCTAGGCTAACTAACTTTTCGCATATTTTTCCGTTAAGTAGCCTTATGTATTGCCAAAGACTGCAGTCCTGAGGCTTCTCTAAGGTATATAGGGAACTGAACTGCCCCTTCACCCTCAGCTATCCTAGTCCCATTGACAGCTAATACCCAGAACTGTATTGCACGGGATTCCCCAAGGCTTTTCTGCCAACACACTCACTTCCTCCCTAGTGAATTGTTAGGCATTATGGATTTGGTCATATGGGAAGATATTTCTCCTCTCCAGGAGAAAACCCTAGATTGCCAGACAAATTTTGTCTTCCTATTTCAATTTCTCAGAAAAAGAAGCCTAAGCTTTCTTCTTTGAGGAAAGTTACTCCATGGTGGTCAGGAAGTTCCCTCCCATGTTAAAACTTGTTCTAGTTTTCTTTGGACTCCTGGGTTCTTTTCTATTTTCTCTCATCATCTTCTCAGTTTCCTCCAGCATCCACCTCTTCCCATGATAGTGGTCAGCCTTCCCATTGTCTCAGATCAAAAGTGTTTTTTTAAACTTGAAATAGCTGGACCAGTTTATAAAACCTCAGAAAATGAAAATGGAATCCTTTAGATCCACTCTACTTGCAGAGGGACAGGGAGTTTTACTGGCATCAAGTGGACTTGTGAATGCCAGTCTACACAATCCATTTTCAATGCAGCTCTTTTCCATTTGGCTTAACATTTTCCCCACGTGTGTTCATAGAAGTAATGTTACTCATATCAGCAACCTTTCCACAAGAAGAAAAGGAGTACTTGTGGCACCTTAGAGACTAACCAATTTATTTGAGCATAAGCTTTCGTGAGCTACAGCTCACTTCATTGGATGCATACTGTGGAAAGTATAGAAGATCTTTTTGTACACACAAACCATGAAAAAATGGGTGTTTACCACTACAAAAGGTTTTCTCTCCCCCCCACCCCACTCTCCTGCTGGTAATAGCTTATCTAAAGTGATCGCTCTCCTTACAATGTGTATGATATTCAAGATGGGCCATTTCCAGCACAAATCCAGGGTTCAACAAGAACGACTGGGGGGGAGGGGGAAGGGGGTAGGAAAAAACAAAGGGAAATAGGTTACCTTGCTTAATGACTTAGCCACTCCCAGTCTCTATTCAAGCCTAAGTTAATTGTATCCAATTTGCAAATGAATTCCAATTCAACAGTCTCTCGCGGGAGTCTGGATTTGAAGTTTTTCTGTTGTAATATCGCAACTTTCATGTCTGTAATCACGTGACCAGAGAGATTGAAGTGTTCTCCGACTGGTTTATGAATGTTATAATTCTTGACATCTGATTTGTGTCCATTTATTCTTTTACGTAGAGACTGTCCAGTTTGACCAATGTACATGGCAGAGGGGCATTGCTAGCTCATGATGGCATATATCACATTGGTGGAAGTGCAGGTGAACGAGCTTCTGATAGTGTGGCTGATGTTATTAGGCCCTGTGATGGTGTCCCCTGAATAGATATGTAGGCACAGTTAGCAACGGGCTTTGTTGCAAGGATAGGTTCCTGGGTTAGTGGTTTTGTTGTGTGGTATGTGGTTGCTGGTGAGTATTTGCTTCAGGTTGGGGGGCTGTCTGTAGGGAAGGACTGGCCTGACTCCCAAGATTTGTGAGAGTGTTGGGTCATCCTTCAGGATAGGTTGTAGATCCTTAATAATGCGTTGGAGGGGTTTTAGTTGGGGGTTGAAGGTGACGACGAGTGGCGTTCTGTTATTTTCTTTGTTAGGCCTGTCCTGTTGTAGGTGACTTCTGGGTACTCTTCTGGCTCTATCAATCTGTTTCTTCACTTCAGCAGGTGGGTATTGTAGTTGTAAGAATGCTTGATAGAGATCTTGTAGGTGTTTGTCTCTGTCTGAGGGGGTTGGAGCAAATGTGGTTGTATCGTAGAGCTTGGCTGTAGACAATGGATTGTGTGGTGTGGTCAGGGTGAAAGCTGGAGGCATGTAGGTAGGAATAGCGGTCAGTAGGTTTCCGGTATAGGGTGGTATTTATGTGACCATCGTTTATTAGCACTGTAGTGTCCAGGAAGTGGATCTCTTGTGTGGACTGGACCAAGCTGAGGTTCATGGTGGGATGGAAATTGTTGAAATCACGGTGGAATTCCTCAAGTGCTTCTTTTCCATGGTTCCACATGATGAAGATGTCATCAATATAGTGCAAGTAGAGTAGGGGTGTTAGGGGACGAGAGCGGAGGAAGCGTTGTTCTAAGTCAGCCATAAAAATGTTGGCATACTGTGGGGCCATGCAGGTACCCATAGCAGTGCCGCTGATTTGAAGGGATACATTGTCCCCAAGTGTAAAATAGTTATAGTAAGGACAAAGTCACAAAGTTCAGCCACCAGGTTAGCCGTGACATTATCGGGGATAGTGTTCTTGACAGCTTGTAGTCCATCTTTGTGTGGAATGTTGGTGTAGAGGGCTTCTACATACATAGTGGCCAAGATGGTGTTATCAGGAAGATCACCGATGGATTGTAGTTTCCTCAGGAAGTCAGTGGTGTCTCGAAGATAGCTGGGAGTGCTGGTAGCGTAGGGCCTGAGGAGGGAGTCTACATAGCCAGATAATCCTGCTGTCAGGGTGCCAATGCCTGAGATGATGGGGCGCCCAGGATTTCCAGGTTTATGGATCTTGGGTAGTAGATAGAATGTCCCAGGTTGGGGTTCCA